TCATGGGGATTTCTATGTAAATAATTATGGATATTTATTTGAAGATGTGGAAGAATTATTTTCAATCCCAATGGGAATGAATTGCCAGAATAAAGTGACAATAGAGCAATGAAAGTGATTCTATGAAGTCCTCAAAGAGAATTAATTTCATTCTATTCCGTATTGAATGGAGATGTATAAAGCAATAAATCCTCACCTCCTGCCTCTGATTCCCGAGTAATCTCAATGCCAAAAGAATCTTCTTTTTTCGGGCACCAAAAAATTAGCGGAACTGTCCCATGAGCTGCATAAAACAGTTGCGCAACAAAACGAGTGAAATTGAAACGAGTTTGTTGGAGATAACGGGTTTAAAGTGACGAGAATTATAATGATCATGTGGTATGCTAATTTAAATGCAGGAAGATACGTTTTGCGAGACCTTGCTCACGTGTTTGCCCCATCTCTGAATTAATATCCCTCCAATTTTTAATTCCCTGAGAAAAAAAAAAGAACTTCACTAAAAAATTCTGTGATTCCACGAAAAAATGTTTTTTTACAATTAAACATTCCACGATTTTTACAATTTAACTGCCAATTTATTTAACACTAATAATTGAAGATCACTGCGTCACTAAGTTCGCAAATATAAAAAGTTTAATTGCAAAAATCGCAGAAATAAAATATGTAAGTAATAATTGAATTTGAAATGACTGAAATTATGTGATGATTATTAAAATTGAAATTGTTTTAATTAAGAATAATAATAAATGAATTTTTCTCGTAAAAATCATGTGTTCTCGATGGACAATTCGATTTCCGGTGGAAATTAATAATTTTTTGTGGGGAAATTGGTATTTTGGAAGACTATAAAATCACTAGACACTTCGGCACGGTTTTTTTACAATTTCAGAAGACAATTTGCGGGAATACTGTCCTCTGGTTTCATACGTAAAATGCACGTGCATCCGGAGACTATTTCCAAGCCCTCAATTGTCAGTTTCATTAGTGATTTTCAAAGGAGCTTGCATATTTAATGCTGACACTTGAATATTTGATGAAATGATAGACCACTTGACGCTAGTTTTCGTCCTCATCAATGATAAATGTGAGGGACCTGTCATCACAGGTCCGCAGTAATCTATTTCCTGAAATGAATTAACAGGCTTGTTATTAATTTGTACCAAAGAGAATGGAAAATTAAAGAGGTATCACTAGAGATACACTAGATTATTTTTTCATCTATCAGTCGAGAATTTTAGAAGAGTGCATAGTCGTGATGGTGAGCATATGGGATAGTCCGTTTTACAGGAATACCCGTGGTGGTTTGATGGTGATGGGATCGTGGCCCTTTCAGTCTCCCTGGGAGAAAATATTTTTCAAATGTGCAACATTTATCTTGATCGGTAGCATATATACTCCAAAGGTATTCCCATAAATTTTCCATGGATTTAAATATTTTTCAGTTATCTCCATAAAACCATTAAAATTCAGGTGATCAAACTGCTGGAGTCCTTGAAGAACGTAGAAATAGTCATGGAGTGCATCCCAATGTTGTGCGTCCACTCCACGGGTTTAATCAAGCTCATCAACTGGACAGTCAATCAAAACGAAGTAATTGAATAAATTCAATTGATCTGGTAATAAAAATACTGAATAATCGATG